GTCACCTGCAGTATCTGTAGAACTGCAATTTCCCTTCTCTATTTGCTCCCCATGTGTGCTGAAGTCTGAAAGTTTAGGGAGTACTACAGTCTGCTGCTCTACAGGAACGCCACTGAGAGCAGCCGAGTAGGCCTTGAGAGGATGGCTGTTAACCCACCTTCTTTTCACGGCCTGGGTCACAGGTAACAGACTGGACAGGGACAACCTTTGACAAAACCAGCCAACTACACCGGAACAAGCTGGCCAGCCATGCCTGCTCTACTCTGGGACACGACCCAGCACGTGGTTTCACTGCAGGAAGGGACAGGAATGATACGCAAGGAAGAGGAAGGAGTGACGACACAGAGGACTGCAGAGTTGAGGGTCTCGGGCCGGCACTGAGTAGGACCCACCAGGATCCTCTCCTTCACAGCACACAGGAGCTCTGTCTGAAAGGAGGTGGCCACGGGCGCCCTGTGGGTGCAGAGGAAGCCAAGTGCCAACTCTGAATGCAACTAGGAAGAGAAGCACGTCTGATCATCATTACTTCCTCTTTATTCTGACACGACATAGAATGCTTTCTTAAAACTAACTGACTTTTGAAAGGCGATGAGAACTACTGGTTAACAAGTACCTGAAACCCACGGTTCTGTTTGCCTGGTATCACCCTACTGGACAGAAACTGTAGCGGCAGCTGCAGGTTGTCTTTCAGTGTTTGAAGCTGCTGCACATCACAACAGAGGCTGACATTGTCAAAGAAAAATCCTGGACAGAGTTCCTTCGGGGAGAGAGAGCAGGGATGTCAGTGTGGCACAGCTGAGAATACGGCGATGTTTCTCAAGCAACAAAGACAACCTCATTCACGGGGTTCTTCTAAGGACGCCGGGGCAAGGTAGGTATGGGTTCTTGCAGAATTCTTTAAAAGGCTGTCATTTACTATGCACAGAGTTTTATAAGTAGAACCCTTTCTAATCTTCTTATTTGGAAGCTTACTGAATCCCCCTGAGAAACGTTTCACGTCTTCTCAGGTTTTAAGTTCAACTCTCACTATTTCCCATTTCATGAGTCACTCCGGGGGAAGCCAAAGCATCCATAATTTGATGGAGGCGGAGGGTGAGTGGCAGAGCTTCTGTTGTCATGTGACCTCGATTTTAGATACTGAGGCCTCTACAATCAGTCTCTTTCTCCTCTTGTTTTCTAGTCCTTTCTCTGGGTTCCTGTGTGTCTGCTACATGAGAAGGCACAATGCTGGCACAATGCTGCCGGCAGCCCAAAGCCAACTTTCGGGGCACACACAGCATGCACTAAAAGGAACAGGGGAAGAGGAAGATCTCAGCCACCTAGCAGCGGACTCCGTCCAATGGCTGAAACCTAGGAACCAAAAAAAAAGCTTCTAACAGATTTTGCAGAAGCTGCGAAGAGCAACGTTGGCGCTCGCAGCCTCAGTCTCTAAATAGTACCCGCCAAGGGGAAACTGTGTGAGGCATGGAAGTCTGCCCCTGAAGAAGACCTCTGGACTCCCCTCTCTGCCATCCGGTGCTCCAGGTGGGAATCCGGGATAAGACTGCAGCCCATCCGGCTCCCCTGCACAGTGGCATATTTACTGAGGATCTGAAAAAGAGCAACTTGTGTTCCCAGCACCCACGATAATGACCTTACCTGTATTAAGTCGTAGCCATCCTTGGGCAATGGTTTTGGCGGGCCAGAATATTGGCAGTTGTATCTCTTATCTCCGGAGGCAATGCCACACTCTCCATACCAAACACAGGACTGGGGAAGCACCTACAGAAAGTCAACATGGGACCCGGCGTCACCAGGGGTCGAGGGTAAAGCAAATGTCAACCACAAAGCAACACTGCAAAACTCTTCCGACATTATCAGCGAAATGAACTAACAGCTAGGGGTGCGCAAAGATACACCAATGCCTAAGTGGATCTGTCAAGTCAGTGAAGCAGGTGATGGAAGGTACTTAGTTTACATGTTTTCTACTTTCTACCTGTTTATTTGTCGCTAAGAGGCAGCTTTGGTTCTGTGTAAGAATCACTAAGAACCAATATCGAGGAAAGAAAGATAATGCATGAGATTTTGCACATCTGCATGAGGAACTCCATAAGCTCTAATGAAAGACTATTTCCATAATAGGTTAATTCATATTGGTACACTGTAATGGGAAGAACAAAACCACACAACATCAGTAACCCCACATAGGAGAAGGAAGAATAAACACACCTTGTCCCAGGATCTAAGGAGCAACAAGCAAAGGGCTAACTTTAGGGAATTCACCTAAGCCATCTTGAGGGAATATGTGCAGATTGCTCAAGAGCCACTCCACTGCCCATGTAGAGTCATGCGGCTCAGAAGCTCAGAAGAGGGAGGGTTCCACGTGAATCATCAAGCCAGCCCTCCAACGGGTACAGCCTGGGGCAACCCGATCCTCTGTGCCACAGCCAACTCAGCAGCCAGGCAGGCCTGAGTTAGCCAGGGCCACAGGCTTGTGCTGTCTGCCCAGGACACAGAAGGGATCAAGACACAACCATGACTCCCAGGGTACCTGGAGGAAAAGCCATTAAAAGAAAACAAAAATCTGAACAGAGCAACAGCCTGAATTCTCTCCAGTTCCAATGACACATGACCATGCATATGCATGAGCCAAGTCAGGCTGTGTTGGTGCCCAGCATCAAGATTCACACTCCATAACAGTTGGGGAAGCCCCAACACAGGGAGAAAGCGGCAAGGGGCTGGGGTGTGTTTGGGCAGGGGCAGGCAGGGAGGAATCCAAACAGCCAGTGTAACTTGGTTCCAGATCCATTCTTCAGAGAGACTAAACTACAAAGGCTGCCCAACCTCTTTACTCAATAAAAATCCTATCTTTAAGCCACAAGGGAGCAAAATTCTACAAACGAAGAAGTGGCAGCCTTCAACAAAGACTCATACCATTCCTTGGGCAAGAAGTTATAAAATTCCACCATTGTTTTTATGTATAGAGAATCCTAAATATTATTCCCATAAACCCAGCTATTCTAAGGAAAGTATTCCAGTTCTGGAATCCTCTAACTCAATTTCAGAAAGGAAAAAGCTGGGTACAGAGATGGGAGAAACTGCTAGTGTTTATTGTGTAATACAAGACTCTTGACTGAAGGGCAAGGCCAAGAGGTCTCACTCCCAGGCACTCTGGCCGGTCACAGGAGCAGGAGCACCAGCGTTGGAAGGAAAATGCTTTAGACCAATTAAACTGAGTGAAGCTCACTTGAGCAAAACAAAAATGGTTCATGAAACAGGCACCTCCCAAAACCAGAACAAGTTCCTGGAACTCTATGTAGATATCACACAGCATTTCTAGAAGAACAGAAGCGAAGCATAAACGAGAATTGCTACAGCTGAGACCAGCAGCAGCCACAGGTTACAGGCTAGTCAGTCAGCTGGCTGGAGGGCGTCCTGCAACCAACAGAAGCTCGGTTACTGTGATCCAAATCCACGCTGCGCGGGCCCAGTGCAAGCCCGTGGCCTTCCTCAGATGTCACTAAACCACAGAAACCCAGTGAGCAAACCCACAGCCCTGGCATGACACACAGGATGGGTGTCTGTAGCCTACACCCCCTCAGCACTTGGTGTAATGGGCAAAAAGAGATGACCGAGCTAGTTAGGTTCCTTTTCACAAAGATCATCTTTTCTAATTTATGCCAAAATTATTCCTAAGCAAAATGCTGTTCCCACCCATCTGGTGGGGGAGGGGAATGCACGGAGGGTGGCCAGGTGTCCCGGGTTCTGGCCCTAAGGGTTCACCAGGCTCCCGGTAATGTGCTTGTTGAGCCCTGGTGCACCTGGGACCACACCTGGAATCGCACTTGCAGCTGGTTACGGCCCAGGCTGAGCAGGCGTCCTCTGCTCACCTCACAGGTTTGGTGTGAAGATCAAGCCAGGGAATAGAGAAGTACATAGAGTGAGTGTAAGGCACAATACAGTCAAATTTAAGTGATTATGCCAATGCCTTCCAACTGTGGCACCTCAACAAAGATGTTCCAGAGACTGGAAGAAATAAAAAACCAAACTGAGACCCCTTGGGTCCAGGAGACGGGCTTGAACCAGCTCTGGGGTTTGCTTCCCCAAAAGTCGTCCTGCCTAAAGCAGCAGCAACCGGAGCTAGGAGGGCTGGTGGGAGGGGGTCCAAAAGAACTTAGAAGTCACTCACCGTGTGCCAGGTGCCCTTTTAAATGCTCTTCAGACACCAATTCAATAACCCCAACAGGCCAGCGCCGCGGCTCACTAGGTGTGGATTCTGTCCAGGTTGCCCCTCTTCCAGGCCAGCTCTCTGCTGTGGCCAGGGAATGCAGTGGAGGATGGCCCTGCACCCCACGGGAGACCAGGATAAGTACCTGGCTCCTGCCATCGGATCAGTGCCGTGCGCCGGCCGCAGCGCACCGGCCGCAGCGGCCACTGGAGGGTGAACCAACGGCAAAAGGAAGACCTTTCTCCCTGTCTCTCTCTCTCACTGTCCACTCTACCTGTCAAAAATAATAATAATAATAATCCCAACAACAGTTTAAGGGAGGTGCTACTATTATACCCATTTTAAAGATGTGGAAATAGACGCACTGAAAAGGCTAAAAAACTTATTTAAGGGCACACAAGTAACAGCAAAGCCAGGACTCAAACCAGGGCATCCTGGCTCCAGAAACAGACTCTGCAAAAATCTAGCTCCATAACTGGGGTTATCCCTCCAGCATTGCACTCTCCTCGGCCTTCGCCTTGTACAAGACCAAGCACTCACTCACAGCTGCGCTGACCGGAGGCCTCTGTCCCCCTCAAATCTCGACCTTCACCTCCCCCGCTTTCACCTGCAGTTGAAAAGGCAGAGCTCATCTTCCTCATGTGAGCTTCCTCAGGGGCCTCCACCGTCCGATCTTTCTAGTCTACATTTCAACCTCATCTCTTTCTTGGTTCCTGCACCTGACCACAAACGCTGCTCCAATGTCACTTGTGGGGCCCTTTCTAAAGCTGCACTTCCAACCTGCTGCCCGGCAGCCTCAGGTGCTCAGCAGGGGGCTAACAACCCCCCCCCCCCCGCCCCGCCACCTCCTCCATTGCCAACGCCTGGGCACTGGCATCCCAAATGGGCTCCGGGTTGAGTCCCAACTACTCCACATGCAACCCAGCTCTCTGCTATGGCCTGGGAAAGCAGTAGAAAATGGCCTAAGTACTTGGGCCCCTGCACTGCACGGGAGATCTGGAAGAAGCTCTTGGCTCCCAGCTTTGGATTGGCCCAGCTCCGGCTGTTGCGGCCCTTTGGGGAGTGAACAGGTAGATGGAAGACCTTTCTCTCTGTCTCTCCCTCTCTCTGTAACTCTACCTCTCAAATAAACAAATAAATCTTAAAAAAAAAAAAAAAAAAAACAAACTGCAGGCACTTTCAGGCCCACCTCCCACAACTAATCCACGGCCCATGCCTGGGGAGGCCCCTCTGCAGCCTCCTCCCCTCTCATCCAGAGTGAGACATGCAAAGCTCCTATGCACAGCTGCCACTTGGTTCTTTCTGATGTTGGCTCCAGAATTTCCTGGTGCCCAGAAGCCTACAACCCATACCTCCCCCTGCCTCGGTGACAGGCTCCAGGCATTCCAAAATGTTGCAAAGCAAACACTCTAACTTCCTCCCCTGCTCTGCAGGACCTGCCTGTTTCTGCACTGGTCATGCAGGTCCAGCCTCCCTCCCCCTACATGCCTTACCCCTCACTGCCTGCTCAGGCCACCCTCCAGCTGCCACCTCTCCTGCAGTGCCTTGCTGACACACACAAGTGCTGCCTCCTCCCCAAGTTCCCACCATACACTTTGTTCCCGTAAGGGTCCAACTATCACTTCCCTTACCCTCCTTGGCATCCCCTAGGATCCCATGTAGTCCTTAGAACAGATCTGTGAGGCTGGTACTGAAGGTAGAGATGAGGAAGCAGGGCTAGGCAGGTGAAAAGTGATGTTCCTGGGGTCACACTAATGCAGGGTAGAGCCGGATGCTACCCACAGCTGGCCTGGCTGGGAAGTCAGAGCGCCTTCCTCGTCCTCTGTGCTGACAGTTAACTCTTAGTGACCAGCGGCAGGCAGAGCAGGGCCATGCTCTTCTCTGTGTCCCATGCAGAGCCTAGCTGGCGTCCTAGCGCGGATTTCCAATCACAGCACAGTGGTAGATGGACTTTATGGACAGAGAGGACAGATGTACCTTAAGATCCCTTGGACTGTCAGAGCAGCATGTGCACATGCCAAGGGTTGTCCCATGCAAACAAAGCTCATACAGGCTATGCGCTTCCTTTTTAAACAAAGCCCTGATTTCTAGGCTAAAGTGCTTGGCCGAAAGCTGCCTTTATACAACGTAACAACACAGCTTGGAAAAATTTCATATCCAGTTTATTCACTGGGGAAAGGCAGTATCACCCTTGGTTGAAACCCACTAGTGTTTGAGATCTACAACAGCAAAAAGGGCACTGGATCAAAGCATGACCTCAATTCTGGAGATGGATGGTGGTGTTGATTGCAGACAATGCCACAGCCGTTACTAGACACGGTTAAATGAAAATTTTATAAGCCACATGTCTGAGGGTACTGCAAAAAGGTCACAGAAAAATGGAAGTCAAAGGCAAGCATAGGGGCTGGGTGTCACGGCACAGTAGGTTAAGCTGCCGTTTGGCGTGCCCGCATCCCATTTTGGAGTGCCTGGTTGAATCTGGCTACTCTGCTTAATCAGGCTTCTGCTCATGTGCTTCCTGGGACGGCAGCAGGTGATGGTGCAAAGTGTTTTT